GGAGGTGGAGAAGGGGGGAACCCATCACAAGGTTAGATATATAGCCCCCACCAGAGGGGGACAAATAACAGAAATGTGGGTGAAGGGAGACATCAGACAGTGTAAGACAAGAAATAACAATAATAAAATATAATTGATGAAGGATTCATGAGGGAGGGAGGGGAAAAAAGATGAGCTGATACCAAGGGCTCAAGTAGAAAGAAAATGTTTTGGAAATGTTGATGGCAAGATATGTACAAGTGTGCTTGATACAACTGAATGATGGATAAGAGGCCTCCAATAATATGATTAATAAAAAATAAAATAAAATTACATAATCAGGATAAAATGGAGACTTAACAGTCATAGAATTCAAACATTCATATAAAGTTTGAATGATTTTACCCCTTAAGGATATAATCTGCTCTAAACCTTCCAGCGATAGTGTATTTTGAGTGTGTGGCCCAACTCTTGGCAATCCTGTGGTGAACTGGCTTTGAGCTATTGTTCTAGAGTTTCCATTCACTGATGAGAAATAGCTTTTTCTTTGACGATACCTTCTCGAGATAGCTCAATACAATTTTTTTAGCTTTAATGCGGCAGGAAAAACATTTTTTTAATCAGGATGACTATAATAGTTACTTTTTGAAATCAAAGACATCATGCAATCAGCACTAGCTGATTTTATAATTACAGTTTAAGAATTTTAAAATTCAAATAGCATCCAATTACATTTCCCTGGATATTTATTATGTCTTCACAGAGCAGATCTTTGTTTTCTAATAACAATACAACATGCTACATGTGAAAGAAGTATCAGTCTAAACGCACTGTAGCTTGTCATCAGCTGAAAATGTACTGTCATCTATTCACACTTCTGAGGACTATCCTCCCCCGTTATCAGTTACAACAATGGACATGGCTAAGCATATGTTTAGAGGAGTTCCTGGATGGTGCAAATGTCCTGTGCACTTGACTGTGAGCCAGGAAGTTGGAAGTTTCAGTCCACCAAGAGGTACATGGGAAGAAAGTCCTGGTGATCTACTTTAAAAAAAAAGCCATCACTGACAACCCAATGAAGCCAAGTTCTACCCTCACTCACAGCGGGCAGCCACGAGCCAGATTCCACTCATAGGAAACTAGCGGTTGCAGTAGATAGAAGGTTCATTAAAAATTCACCCACACTCAAAGTAATATGAGAACTTAATAAGAGTTGATTAAATTAAGGAACAAAGACTTGGCTGTGCATATTACGTATATGGAATATAGCACATATGTCTATGTTTCTGTTATTTTTACTTTTTATATGACCACAACAGGTTATATAGACTTATTTTTAAATTAATAATTTAGACAAGCACAAACAGTTATTTTTACAAAGTACAGTAGGGGAAATTGATAATGGACTCTCAAGTTATAAAATCTGGATTCAAAATCCTAATAGCGCTTGTTGTTGCTAGGTGCTGTCAAGTTGGTCCCGCCTCATAACTAGGTAGCGCAGAGCCGACCTTTGCCAGCGTCACGAGAGCTCCCACATGTCAGCCCATGGTTGCAGCCAGTGTGCCAAGCTTTCTGGTTGGAGAATTCATCTGATTCAGGGGACAGGGATTTTGTCTACTAGTAGAAACATCCAAACCAAAACACCAAACACACTTCCGTGGAGCCCAATTCCACCTCCTGGTGCCCTCATAGGACAGAGTAGGAATGCTCTGCGGGGCTCCGGAGGTTGTATATATGCCTCTGCTTCACTTCCTCCTGCTGAGTGGCTCTTTAGGGTATCAGCTGAGCGCTTTCATCACTGCGTCACCAGGATTCATGGATGCTTTGGGTAGAATTAAATAATGCTTGTGGCTGCTCAGTGCCATAAAAATAAGTTTAGACATGCTCTTATGATGTTAGATTCCTTACTCACCTGCTTTCACCTTATTTATCCCCAATTACACTAATCCAAGCCCGCAGTTTTAATCCTAATGTTAGGATACACTTCAAAATTCCCTTTCATGCCTTTATGTATAGTCATCTCCCAGGCTTCCTATGTAAATGGTGAGTACAGGTCACTATTTATCCTATGGCAAGACAAACAAACAAACAAACAAACAACTGTTTACTAACTATGTTCGTTGATTCGATGCTGTTCTTTCTCCCCGCTCCTCCCCTCATTTGAAGCATTTATTCATTTCATCTCTTATATCTACAGAAACAGAATAGCTTGCAAGACCACGCAAAAAAGATCTTTATTGCACACTTTTTAATTGCACTGAATTGTCTTGTGAAAAGAAAGGGATTAAGAAAAAAAAATCTCCAATGGAGAAACAAGAAAATGAATTGGTTTTGGTATCTGTCTTTGTTACAGATCTATAACTAAACATTTTTCCATGAATTTTATGAAGCTTGAAGCTTTTCAGAACCTTATAAACTAAAGAAGCCTATGATAAATATCTTTTTAATGTAGCTATAAGTTTTGTATTAATCAATGTATATGTTGGTTAAGTTTGGAAAATGGGAATTTTATCTTTCTTCAAATACTCTTATGTTCAATTTTTCCACAATTTGAAATATTTTTCCTAATTTATAATTAATTTTAAATTGGTATATAGGGTTTTGTACTTAGATTTATTACACATTCACATGTATAAATATCCTATCTCCATACCAGCATGTATTCCCTTAAGAAAACTGATAGCTTAATATTTTAAACTATTCCCTTCAACTGATTGCTTACTCTACTGAGTAACCTTTAAAATTCATTTTTAAAGTGAATTTTAAAACCTTACATTAGTGAACCATGATAGTTCAGAATTCTCATACATGGACTTTAAAGGGTATTAATAAAATATGTAACCATGAATTATACACATTTTTTGTTTCAAAAGTAAAAAATACTTTAATATTTCACTACTATTTTTCTCACTCTACTTTCCTTTTCAATTGAATATATTTCTTTATAAAGTCTTAGATCTCCTTTTCAACAGCCTTTTGTGTGGTTATACTTATAATAATCCCTGTCTAAACTCATTTTGAGGCTTTATCTTGTATCTTTGGGTTTATATTAAGATAGTCTCATTGATTTCTCTTTAGTTTTTCCCATTAATATCCTATACATATTAGTTGTGACTCTCATGAAGATTGGGAACTGAGCATATTTTGTTCTAGACTTCCCTCTGATGAATAAGGAAACATTCTTTATCTGACAACCCTATAATTTAAAAGAGATTGATTGATGGGTTGGGTTGAGACTAGCACAATGACAGGGAGATTTGGTTACGTACAAATGCAGTACTCCATGGACCTCTGTGTTTATACACTCTCCCCCATGTTAATCCATTAATTTGACTGCTATGGGCTTGGTGCCCATCATGGGGTGTGGGGATGTGTTCTTTGGGGGTCTGTTCTTTTCCTACGGGTACCTCAGCCAGATCCAACAAGTAGCGCTGTCATTAGATTCATTACTAAAAATATACTGTGTGTCCTTAGGCAGTAACTATCTCTAAGTTCCTACCCCTTTCGTTTTCCCCTCATTTTCCACCTTCCTGGCTGTTCATGGGGGTCTTTGAGCAGAGCTGAACACTGTGACTCAGCATCAAGAGCCCCCCAAAATTTCTTGATGGTGTCTTCTCCTCCCCGAGGAAAACCTCCACATGGAAAAGTCCTCATCGACCTGCTCTAGAGTCCCTGTGAAGACTTAGACACATCCTACAGCACGAGAGCTCTGGGCTACGACTCTACCAGGCTGGAGAGAGGATGCTCAAGCAATGTAGCAACACCTTCAGCAGAATTCAAGTGCACCGTGAAATCTTTAAGAACCACTTTTCTCCTTTCCCTTTCATCATTGTTCTATTGTTTTTCTTCATAAAAATGACACCTAATTGTATAAAGTATACCCGAGCATGGCTAGCATTATTTTTCATGTTTCTGCTTTTTGACAGGTGATTTAACAAACACATTTTCAAAAATTAGGATTGATAAACATGCATGCCGAAGTCATTAGATATACACCTATCAGTTATGGATTATATACATTTACAAACAGTGTAAATTTATGACGGAAAAGCATCCTTACAGAAGCTATTGTATCTCAAGTCTCTTAGTGAATATTTATAATGGTATTTTCTCACCCTAAAGAGATGTTCAAGAAGTCATAACACACTGCACCTGATTTGTACGTTTACTAATTATTTGCATGTATTTAGGCAAGAAGCATTAATTCACACAGACTTCATGAAAATATATCAGCATAGTACTATATATTTTGGCTTTGCACAAAGTCTGTAAATTTTACTTGGCTCACATATATAGTCAATTCCCTAGTTGTATAAGCTTCATTTTTAAAAAGTCCATGAAAGTGGGAAATAAAATGTTATTTCTGAGAGGTGGCAATTTCTCAATGTATTCTATCACAACTGGTCTCTCTATACCTTTTGAGTAAGGCATTCTTAACAGGAAACACACACACACAGACACACACACACACATACACACGGTATAAGTCAACTGTTTTGTGTTTCTGACAACAAGGTCTCCCTTCAAGGACATCTAGCCTGAATCGTTTTAATTCTATCTGCTCAATTTGTATGCAAGACTGTATTTGAATTGGGGTACGTCACTTCTGGGAGAGAGGCTGAGCATTTTCAGTTTCTATCAGCGTCTTTGGCCAAAATTTGAAAATGTTGACATTAAGAAAATCACCCGAGCCAAAGGAACGCTGCAGCCTTCTTAAAACTTCTCCACAAGAAGGTAATTGTCTCTCACCGGTCCAGCTCACTCTGGGCGCTGCCCCTCCACAGGGTGCAGTCGTCTATCTGTCCAGGGCACACATTCTTGAAAAGCTTTTGTAGCAGCATAAAATACCCAAGTGCACCATACACTCACATCCCCAAATAATTACCATCACCACCCGAGCCCTGACACTGCATTCCAAGCCCGAGCTGTGAGTCAGCCTCGCCAACGCTGCATCACCATTAGCCTCACTCAGCACATCCCAGGGTCCACAATGATCTACCCGACAGGAAAACCTGACTTACCTCCTGTGTTGTTAGCGGTGGTGCAGGATAGTATCTATTGCAAATTGTCCATTCACATACATTCAATGGCTGTAATATCACAATACGCCTCTCCCCTGCAGCAGAAAGCAAGTTAAAAGGACTTCAAGCTGTGACCTCAGAGGCAGACACAGCCGCTCCCATCCTTCAGCCAACCTTCTGGGGAGAGCTGGTTAGATGAGAGCGAAGCTGCCTCTCTCCACAGCAATACTTTCAACTAAAGCGGTCTGTGCTGCGAGCCGGGGGATTTACATCTCCCCAAATTGGCTGGCCGGAGTCAATGCTGCTCTATGCCTGAAAATATTAAGCATTTCACTGCAGTCACTTAATGCAAGAAACTATCTGAGGCGACTTCACAAACCCTGTCATTCTGTTTGGAGACTAGAGAATGAGCTTCACATGCATAATTCATGCATTAAAATCTTCAATGCACTTCCTGTAGTCGCCGTTCTATCCAGTAATGGGCTATTGATCACTGCATCCTTAAGACAATTGGAGCTCCGTGATTGGTTTATTTCCACAAATAAAATCACAACCTAAATCACAGGCAGAAGACGCCAAGCCCACAGCCTTCATTCGGGTAAAACTCTCGCCTGGAAGAGGTAACATTTGCAAACAGCAGAATGGCTGCATTGGACTCTCTCTTTGTCAGAAATGCTACATTATCAGTATTCTTTCATCCAAAAGATGTATTTTCTGAAGCTTCAAGATGAATGTTTTACATTTTATGTGAGATATACCACGTTTATTTATTTTCCCTGTCATTTCTGGAAAAATAACAAGGCTGCCGTGAAAATTCAGAGAATAAAAATAGTGATGCAAAATGATAAAACCAGATGACTTTCACCCAGGCTCATCTGAATACCCTTTCCAAGAAGAATTCTCATGGCAGTGTCGTCCTTTTTTATTGCAAAAACGTAGACGCACCGTCTTCTTTTTCAAACCATAGAATGTATCCTGAAGATGAACTGTTTGGGACCTTAAGCACCTTTTCACTGGGTGTGCCAGTGCCTGAGAGCCCTGCTTCTAAAAGTTTACATCTAACAACACATCGTTTTTATGAGTCTTTCATCATACCCTGAAAAGCTAGGGTTAAAAGAAAATGCCCAGTTCATTTGCTGATCTTCAACAACAGAAAACGCAGCAGGAGGATAGTGTTTGCCAAGTAGATTATAGTGAGGAAGTGGATGTGTAACAGTGAAAAGACACACACACACACACACTCACACACACTCACTCAGCTCTATGACATGGCACTTGTCCATTTATAAAATCAGAGTGAAACCATCAAGTTTAAGTTCAAGACTAGAGTAGAGAATAACTATCACAGTACAACCAAGGCTTTCCATCTGACAACTGTTCTTCAGGGAGCAAGTAATTGACCCTTAAAGGAGTATGATCATGGTGATTTTTAGTCAATATATCAATAACAGCGAGGCTAGTAAGGGCACTGATAACAATAGGAGTGTAGTTCAGGATTGGTTAGAAAACAAGCATAATTTGTGCTCGTCCTACAGAGAAGATGATTTGCAATGGATTGAAAAATTGATGGTATATTAAAATAGTCTACATAGCATTCTAAATTCTATATAAGGTCCAGTCAAAAAATTAGGCTACAAACTTCTGGAAACCTTTATTAAGCAAACTGAGAAGCTACTGTTTCTCAACACATTTCCCCTCTGTATACATGTACTTCTGAAGGTGGTGTTTCCATCTCTCTAAGCCTCCCATGAAGAATTCTGGGCTCTTTGATCTACATCATTTCACAACAGCAGTTTTGGCATCCTCGGAGGACCCAAATGTGTTTCTTTTCATTGGTCTTTGAGTTTAGGGAAGAAAAAGAAATCTGATGGGACAAAATCATGGCTGTAGGCTGGATAGGGTAAGCTTTCCTATGGAAATCCGCATAAGCCCTCGCAACTATCAAAGAATGAGCAGATACATTGTCATTGCGATGAGGGAAAAGTTCTTTGAAACCACTTTCCTGGACTTTTTCTCATCAAGGCAGTTTCCCATTTTCTTATCAACTTCTTAATAAATCCTCACATTGTCCTGTGTCCTTTGAGAAAATCTATCAAGTTGATCCTATGGAAATCCCCCAAACACCCCATAACCTTCTGAGCTGGTCTCGCTGTCCTGAACGCAACTGACCTAGCAGATCACCAGGGACACCACAGTTTGACTGTCTGAACCCTGATGAGGTGATGACAAGTATATTGCTGAAGGAACTTCTCTGCAGCCAGCTACTGATGGCAGACGCAGGTTTAAACATGAACCCTAGTAGTATCCTTTGACTTCGTGTGCTTCAGTGCATACAATATTTATATTTCTGCTTGGAAAAATTTTAACCCTGTATGTCTATATATTGTCACTACTCAAATGAACTTACATAAACAACATAGCAGATTTTATTGCTAATAGTTTCAATATATCTTATATGAAATATTCTTTAATGTTACATAGGAGATTAAAAGACCAGTCATTTCTAAAATTATAGAACATGTAGATAAGTTTTAATATTTATCTTGTCAAAACTATTGTCAATGTAATCATCTATAGAAGCCATTTCATATGCAGAGACTATCGCATTTGGAATTTTGGAAATTTATCAGGTGCAAAGATATAAAGGACAACCATTTAGCAGATAGAAATTGCTGCCATATTCTTAAAGATTACAGATGTAAACATTAGAAAAGTATGCTCTCTGAAGTGACAGGATTTAAAAACACATAAGCAGGTAGGGCGAAGAACATTAGCTGAATCCATTCCTTTCCATCACAACAGGAGAAAAGTCTCTGTTGTTTCTCAAGTACAAAGTCCCAGACCCAGTTCTAAAGTGGAGGTCGCACCTCGGCATGGGTTCCGTGAGTTTTCACACAGTCAACTTAGAATAGGCCACACTAAGGTGCCAGCAGAAGAGAGGAAGAGAAGCAAGCCATGGCATGAGAGATGCTATGGAGAGAGTAAGTCCCTGAGCAATGAGAGAAGTGAGGCAGCAAGTATGACTTGAATGGAAATTATTGGCAAAAAGCAGCAAATTGTACTCCCAGATATCACAAAGCCTAAGGCTGCAATAAAGAGCCATTTTCCACTTTCCAGAAGTCTGGCATGGCTGAGAAACACACTTTGCTGATCCTTTCAGATGGATGAAGGACAGAGATAGCCACTTTAGATGAATTTGATCTCTTCAGAGAACAAGATGTTTTCCAATATTGTAAATTTATAATTTATATAAGATAGTAAGTGAACCCTGTAATGTGCAAAAGGTCAATAAAATGAATCAAAGTGTTGAATAAATCAAAGCTTATTTAGTCTAAGAAGCTTGCTATAACTGTTCTAAGGTAAACTGGCCTGCCTGACTACTGCCATTTGGGAAAATCCATGATCGAGGCTCAAATAAGAAAACCAATGCCATGCATAGCTTAAAAAAGAATTTAATCTACCAATATTTTAGTATCCCTAAAGGAATGTCTAATGGGAGAAGACTATATCCGCTTTCTGATAAGTAAGGCCCCCAGGCATTATACCTACTTTCTGTTTATAAATATCATATCCCATTCATTTACTTAAAATAATATTTAATGTATACTTTTGTCTTGCAAGAATTAGAGCAGATATGGGAGAAACAAATATGTATAGAGAGTACTGTTTGCCTCTAAGGTGCTCAAAGTTCACTGAAGAAGATGAACATATTCCCTATGATACATTATTAAAAAATACAAATGAGAAGATGGCCAAAACATATGGAACTGTCCACTATGGCAAGTACAAACTTCTAAGTAAATGTTAATTCACCTGATTTTTATTCCACTCTGTGAGGCAGAGCAGCGGAAGAAATATCTGAATTACAATCTCCCTGTGAAGACATTAAACAATGATTCATTGGTGGGATGAGATTTAATGATGCTGGGTGGTATAATGGAAATTACAGGGTTTTTGATGTCACATACATTTTAAGTTTCAATTCAGACTTCAACAAATTCCACTTTTTTGCCTTGATTGTACCATTAATACTCCATAAACTTTGGTTTTATCATGTGGAATTCAAGGCAAAGGCAGCTATCTATTAAAGTTTTTTATTCGAATTAAACATGTAAATTAGGGCACACTAACTAGGAATAGAATTTTTGTAGGTAGGCAGATAGGATTTTTGCCACCTGCCTCAGTTTCTTCATCTGTGAAATGAGGATTCAATCAACCTCACAGTTTTGTTTAGAAAATTCAAATATTGTAATATCTTTGTCACTTAACAGACTCTAACATAGCAAAGACATTGGAAACATTAACTTATACCCTCCCAAAGCTTATGCTAATCAGGAAGAGCTGGAAGGAATGCTGTTTCGGGCAGAGAACAACGAGGCGGCATGATAGCCCAGGACCTACCTTCAGATGCTGAACTGTCTACACACCCACAGCCATTGATTTGATTCCGACTCACAGTGACCGTGTATGTGAGTTCCAAGACTGCACATATTTACAGGAACAGACAGTCTGACCTTTCTGGTTGATTTGAAACCGGACTTTGTGGTTAGAAGTCTAACACCTAACCCACAGTACCACCAGGGCTCTCTGAAGTATCTACAAGAGGCCTTCAAAAAGTTCAAGAAAAAATATAGTTCAAAGATAGTGGCTGCTTTCCACAAACTTATTAAAACCTCCTTGTTGAAAATGAAAAGCTGGGGGTACCATGGTTATTCTGTTAGATGACAAGGTATAATGATCTAGAATCTGTTTTATAATTCTTACAATACTGAATATTATTAAATTCTTAAATGTGATACTCTGCTTGCGAGTGTGATGTTATGCTGTAGAAAAAGAGTTATGCAACATTTCACCATGGGAAGATGGGATATGGAGACCAGAGGCAAAGAATACCAATTAGTAGACACTCTTTGTATTTCACTGAAGGGTCGGTTCAAGGAGAGAAGAATAAGACAAATATTCTAAAGACCCTTTAACAATTGTGCAGATGCTGCAGGACATGGCAGTACTGTGTTGTGCTGTACATGGATGTCTATGGCTTGAGCCGACTCAATGGCAGTTAACAACAACATTGCAAACCTGGAACAATATTGATTACATTAATAATAATTCATTTGAAAACACTTCATTTAATTATCACGAAGTTTTTTTCAGCTAAGTAGCACTTCTTTCTGTGTACTAAAGACTAAT